GGGTGGGGGGATGGGTTAGCCTGGTGATGGGTATTAAAGAGGGCACATTCTGCGTGGAGCACTGGGTGTTATGCACAAACAACGAATCATGGAACACTACATCAAAAACTAATGATGTAGTGTATGGTGATTAACATAACAATAAAAATTAAAAAAATACATTTTTTCATCCCACTTATTGGCATTATGGAATGCTAATTATTAGAGTGAACCACCATTCTTGCTTCATGTTTCAATAAAGAGATTCCTACTAGTCATGGGTTTGGCAATCTGATAAAGTCTATGAATGTCTTATAAGAAAATGTTTGTAAATGCATAAAATACATAGGCCTACAAAGGAAACCAATTATATTGAAATATTGATAACAAATAATAAAAATAAATCCTATACAGCAATATTTGCACTTAATACATTAAATGCAGATCTAATAACTGTAACTTTGAAGTTGTGATGTATATAAACAGTATTTCAAAATAAAAAATTAGTAAGAAAATAGCTAAGCTTTCTGTTGGGGAAAACACAATGGGTACTGCTATAATGACTGTGATTCAGTATCTATATTCATAATTAATGGAAATTTAACTTGAGAAATCTTATACTAGGATCAATACTCTTCATCTCTCCCTGCTTCCCCTCCTAACCCTCCACCTCAGAACCTTAATGGCTCCTCCTCACGGCAGTGATTTATCTGATTTGTGTGCAAGAGAAATTGAGCATACCCAGCTCAAACATTTCTAGGCTTCCACATTTTGTATCTTACTTTTGCAAGGTGGGTGTAGATAAGTGCATAAACTTACCAAGGCTCTGCCCATTCAAAAGGGATGGCCTGAAGTTTGAGGACTAAGCTCAATTGGGGTGGAAAATAGTAGAGCCCTTTGGTCACACATGAAGTATTCTCCAATGCAACCTTTATCAGAATCAGAATCATGCAGATGATCAAATATATTTCTCACATATATTTGGTCTTTGTAAGGCTCGTGGCTCACAGCTTCCCAAACTCTTGGAATTTCCTAAATGATGAAATTGGAAAGGTGGCTCTTGTGTTAATGGTTAACTTTTGGACGGTACCCAAGGATGGGGCCGGTTGCCAGTGGTGCCAACCATGTGATTAGGGGGTTGGAACTCTCAGTCCCGCCCCAAACCTCTGGGGAGGGAAGAGGGCCTGAAGGTTGAGTTCAATCACCAATGGTCAATGATTTAATCAACATGCCTGTGTAATGAGGCCTCCATAAAAACCCAAAAGGACAGGGTTTGGAGAACTTCTGGGTTGGTGACCACATGGAGACTGGGAGAGAATGGCATGCCTAGAGAGGTAAAGGGAGCTCCGTACCCCTTCCTACAAACCTTGCCCTATGCATATCTTCCATCTGGCTGTTCCTGAGTTCTATCTTTTTATAATAAACTGGTAATCTAGTAATGAAATACTTCTTTGAGTTCTGTGAGCCTAACAAATTAACTGAACCCAAAGAGAGGGTCTTGGGAACTTCTGATTTATAGCCAATTGGTCAGAAGCACAGGTGATAATCTGGGTTTGCAACTGGCACCTGAAGGGCGGGGGGTGGAATCTTATAGGACTGAACCCTTGAACTGTGGAATCTGATGCTATCTCCAGGTGGATAGTGCCAGAATTAAGTCATACTATAATTATAGGACACTCAGCTGGTGCCTGAACAATGGCTTATTGTTGGTGTGGGGAAAGCCCCTCCTCAAACTGAAACTGGGTGTTCAAAATCATTCTATACTCCTATGTCTTATTTTTCATCTGAGTCCAGACTTCAAGGAAAAGGGTATCATTTATTGAACCCTTAGCCTCAGAGCTCATTTACCTCTATTTCACTTATCAAAGTTGTAATTTTATTTTTGTGTGATTATTTGTTACCTCCATTAACATAAGTCATAAGTCACATAAATTTAGAGATTGTGTGTCCACTTTTGTTCACCACAGTACCTCCAGCACCTAGTACAATGCGTGGCCCTTGGAAGAAATTCAATAGTTTTCGAATAAATGAGTGAATAAGTAAATGTCAGTTCATTGTACTATAACAACCTCCGTAAACTCCAGTTAGGTTAGGAAAGTTTGTAGATTTTGAGTTTTTATAGTTTCATAAATATATTCTTGAAAGTAGCCATTTATTAGCATTAGAAAGGATAATTCTTTGTAAAAACAAATAGATCCAATAAAGTACACTTACCCTTCTATAACCATTGCAAGAGAGCCCAATAAAATAGTGTGAATCACATGATAAATTATTTCTGGCCTTCCTCCAATTTGTCCATCTTCAAGAGTAATAGTTTCTTTCAAGGACTTGCCTCTACACAAAGGAAATATGTTTTTTACTATTTTGAAAATATGTATTTGAAAAATCAAAGATCTTAACTTTCTTCATAAAAAAAAAATATAGGTGGTCCTAGAAATTTGAAAGTACCTTGTTAGTCAAATATCTAACTTACACATCTCCAAGTCTTTGAAATGGTTTTTAGAACCTGAAGACAATGGACTCTGTGAAGACTAAATATGAAAGTTCAGGAAATATGACAAAAACAATTTTTAGGGGGTGCCTGGGTTGCTTGCTGTCAATTAACCAGCCGACTCTTGATTTCAACTCAGGTCACGATCTCAGGGTCTTAGGATCGAGCCCTGCGTGGGGCTCCATGCTCAGTGGGGAGTCTGCTTTAGGATTCTCTCTCCCTCTGCCCCTGTCCCCGCTCATTCGTGCGCTCTCGCTCTCAAATAAATAAGTAAATCTTAAAAAATTTTAAAAATATATTTTTAGGTTCCTTTTCCAAGATCAATTATCACTCAACTAGTGGTTACTAAATCAATATAGTTAAATCATAATTTGAATAGCTAAGTTCTTAAAATTAAAATACTACACACAACCTACTTTTAAACATGACAAAAATATTTTGGAAGTCTTCATAATTTAAAATCACTTACACTACTAGCTTCATTTAGGTTATATAGAAAAAATTATTCTTACATTAAGTAAAAATACGACTAAACTAGTAAATGAGTCTGTAACAATTTATTTATTTATTTATTTATTAAAGATTTTACTTATTTGTTTGACAGAGAGATAGCGAGAGCAGGAACACAAGCAGGATGAGAGGGAGAGGGAGAAGCGGGCTTCCCGCTGAGCAGGGAGCCCAATGTGGGACTCGATCCCAGGACCCTGGGATCATGACCTGAGCCGAAGGCAGATGCTTAATGACTGAGCCACCCAGGCGCCCGAGTCTGTAACAATTCAACTCAGTATTAACTCTACATTAAATGTGGACATTATATATTTAGATGTATAAAAAATTTGAAATTTATCTGGTTAACTTATGATATTTTACATGTTGATAACAAGAGAATGGATCTAGAAATTCTAAAACAAATACACAAATATTGGAAGGATATTAAAAATAGATAGTTTATTTATTTTCATAATGTATTAGTTAGCAATGTGATTGATTCTCATAGATACTTACTTAATTCTCCTAAAAATAACTTGCATCATAGAAAGAAAACAAATAATTAACACTAAAATATAGAAAGGTAATAAAGAAGACTGTGTCAATCGCAAAAAAAAATCTTGAGATGGTGCCTGCAGGGATTCTTGACATAGGAGCCAATTCATTGTAAAATTCCTACAGAAAACAAAAAGCATGATATTAAAATCATAGATGGTATAACCTACTGTACATAAAGTATTTTTTATCGCCATAAAAAGACAAAACAAAAAACACATTTCTAAATCTATTCACTTGTAACAGCAAAGTCCTACCCTTTATAAGACCATATCTAGAACCCAAAATGGTTTCAAAGAAGTTTCACTTTCTATTTTTATCTGGAAGACAACAAAAAATTCAGCTGTCCAACCTCCATATCTGCAGTGTCCAATATGGTAGCTACTAGGTACAATGTGGCTATTAGCACTTGAAATGTGGCCAGTGCAAATGGATATACCTCAAATGCAAAATACACCCTGGATTTCAAACATAAAAAAGAATGAAAAGGACTAAAGAATACAAAATAGCTCATTAATAATTTTTATACTGTTTATACATTAGAATAACATTTTAATATATTGGATTAAATAAAATGTATTATTAAAATTAAATTCCCTGTTTCTTTTCACTTTTTTAAATGTGTCTACTAGAAAATTATACATGTGACTCATGTTACATTATTACTGGACAGTCCTGTTTTATATGGATGAAAGTAATTCAACTAGGACCCATTTTAAAAAGAGTAATCTAATTATTAAGACAAATCATAAAATTTGAAACATAAACATTTTGAGCTATAAGAACCAGGATACACTTTTTTTTTTTTTAAGATTTTATTTATTTGACAGAGAGACACAGTGAGAGAGCAAACACAAGCAGAGGGAGTGGGAGAGGGAGAAGCAGGCTTCCCGCTGAGCAGGGAGCCCGATGTGGGGCTCGATCCCAGGACGCTGGGATCATAACCTGAGCCGAAGGCAGACGCTTAATGACTGAGCCACCCAGGCACCCCCAGGATACACTTTTTTTGACCTTAAGCTAAATATGATCAACAAGATTCCTAGTTATGTGTGATTTTATTTGCATTCTCACACCTGATCCATCTCCAACATCCATTTTATCCTTAATCCCTAGCCTAGGAAGAGAGATAAAGAGATGGAATGATCTTCAGAAGAGCTCTTGGATGGATGAAGAATGCCTGCATCCCAAATCACTGGGTTTAGAAAAAGGTTAAAGTTTCACAATGTGTCAAGCAGTAATACAGCTGTATCAAAGAGGCTGCCATCAAAATGTTTCGTACATATGATCATATGATGAATCATGTCTTTTTTGTCTACCTATTAAAGTTACTAATTCTATAAGATCCAATTCAAATCTCAATTTAATGAATTCTTCCCATATCCCCCAGTCCCAATCTTTCCTTCCCCATATCCCCATGGCACTTTACTTATCCCTCTATTATAGTACTTAATGCAACTTGCTACTTTAAGATTATAGTCATTTTTGTATCTCCCAGAATACCTGGCCTAGTATCTTGCACATCCAATAAATACTTAACATTTCTTTAGTGGTTCTTGAAAGTCTGTCTCAACAGAAATGTTTCCTGAAATTCTGGTGAACTACAAATCCTAATATCCAGTTGGCACATTTGAGCATAAGGCATTTACTGTTTTTTCTTTTTTAAAGATTTTATTTATTTATTTGACAGAGAGACACAGCAAGAACAGGAACACAAGCAGGGGGAGTGGGAGAGGGAGAAGCAGGCTTCCCGCGAAGCAGGGAGCCCAATGCAGGGCTCGATCCCAGGACCCTGGAATCAGGACCTGAGCCGAAGGCAGTTGCTTAACGACTGAGCCACCCAGGTGCCCCAAGGCATTTACTGTTTATACTACTCATGTCATTAACTGTATAAAAACTAGCTAATGAGATGTCAATATTCTTAAGGACAGACATCATGTCTTATTAAAACACCTAGTGTATTACCCTGTGAGATAAATCTAGTACGTTACATGCTGAGCAAAGGGGCACTACATAACATCAACTAAGAAACACTAGACAAAAGCAGCCCATAATCCTACGTGTATTCTCGAGTCTTCCAAGGTTAAAGAGAAAGTCAGGGGAAAAGGCCAGTCAATTATGGAAGTCTATAACCAATTTTTCCTAATTGCCTGCTAAATATCAGGCCTATATATAAATATACCTGAAAAAGATAGGGTATATATATATAGGGGGTGTGTGTGTGTGTGTGTGTGTGTGTGTGTGTGTGTGTAATATATGAGGCCATGTGCTGCCCTTATGGAGCACATGGCCTCTTAAAGGATCCTTTTACCTTAGTAGATATCCATATATGACTTGCATTTCAGAAGATTTCTCCAGTGTTTCAACACTTTGTTAACTGTGATATATCACAACATGAAATTCCATGCACAGCAACTAAAATCCCATGTAATCATAGCAAATGATAATAAGGTTCTAAGGTATATTATATGAACTAGAAAAATGTGTATTTAAATATATATTTTCTGGGGGCGCCTGGGTGGCTCAGTCGTTAAGCATCTGCTTTTGGCTCAGGTCATGACCCCAGGGTCCTGGAATCAAGCCCCGCATCGGGCTCCCTGCTCCACGAGAAGCCTGCTTCTCCCTCTCCCACTCCCCCAGCTTGTGTTCCCTCTCTCGCTGTCTCTCTCTGTCAAAATAAAATAAAATCTTAAAAAAAAAAAACATAAATATATATATATTTTGTTATGCAAGTGGACATTATCATACATAAGTCATTTATTTCACTTTAGATTTAAAAAATGAATTTAACTAACAAAGACAAGGCACAACATTACTCTTGAATTTAAAAAGTCAGCTTCTAGGGTTGCCTGGGTGGCTCAGTCGGATAAAAATTAGTTGGCTTCTGATCTAATCCACTATTATGACCCAAAATGAGATTCTTTGCTGTGAAATAGATATCTTACTGCCCACCCCTTTATAATGCAAGTATTTTGCTGATGTACTGGTTAAAATTACATTGGTTTTGGGGCACCTGGGTGGCTCAGTCAGCTAAGCGTCTGTCTTCAGCTCAGGTCATGATCTCAGGGTTCTGGGGTCAAGCCCCACATCAGGCTCTCCGCTCAGGGGCGAGTCTGCTTCTTCCTCTCCCCCTGTGAACTCTTTCACTTTCGCTCTCTCTCAAATAAATAAATAAAATCTTTTAAAAAAAAATTACATTTTTTTTAATTCATTTTAAATCTTTAATTTATTCTGACTTTACATTATATCATTGTTCCACAACAAGGGAGAAAGTAGCCTCAAAACACTGTGATGCTATTAAGGCTTAAGGACATCTAATTTATAAAACATCTAAATGAGATTTTATTTATTTATTAAAGATTTTATTTATTTATTTGAGAGTGAGAGAGTGTACAGAGGGAGAGTGAGAAGCAGACTCCCTGCTGAGCAGAAAGCCCGATGCCGGGCTCAATCCCAGGACCCTGAGATCATGACCTGAGCCGAATGAAGGCAGACGCTTAACTGACTGAGCCATCCAGGCGCCCCTAAATGAAATTTTTTTAAATGAGAAAAAATATTAATGTTATATTTCTTCTAGATATTATAATAATTCCAAATTATTTATTTTCTACGTGGCATATAATTACGTGTCTACTACTCCTTGGATTATTTTTGCTCTTTATCTTCTAAGTGATATGGAGTTAGGTAAATTTATATATAATCTAAAACTTACTTAGTCATATTTAGTCCAAATTTTACTTCAAGGAATTTCAGCATGTGCGCATTTTCTTTGTGTGGGACAAACATCTGGAAGAAAAAAGCGCTAGTTACAACAAAGAACTATTAGCTATGCTCACAGCAATATGTTTCTGTCTAGAAATAGAAAACACAGGACTAGGGGCGCCTGGGTGGCTCAGTTGGTTAAGCGACTGCCTTCTGCTCAGGTCATGATCCTGGAGTCCCAGGATCGAGTCCCACATCGGGTTCCCTGCTCGGCGGGGAGTCTGCTTCTCCCTCTGACCCTCTTCCCTCTCGTGCTCTCTATCTCTCATTCTCTCTCTCTCAAATAAATAAATAAAATCTTTAAAAAAAAAAAGAAAACACAGGACTATAAAATAAAAAATACAAATTAAAAATGAATAATACATGGTATAACTATGAAGCAAGGAGATCTACTGACCTAAGTCAATCACATTACTTTATAGTTAATCATAAAACTATAATGGGGTAGTAAGATTTCCACTTACCCTGCATGACTTAAGTAACCTACCCACTCTTTTTTTTCTTAGATTTTATTTATTTATTTGACAGAGAAAGACACAGTGAGAGAGGGAACACAAGCAGGGGGAGGGGGGAGAGAGAAGCAGGCTTCCCATGGAGCAGGGAGCCCAATGCGGGGCTTGATCCCAGAACCATGACCTGAGCCGAAGGCAGACGCTTAACGGACTGAGCCACCCGTTGAGCCACCCAGGCGCTCTGAGTAACTTACCCACTCTTTTCAAAACTTTTACTCATCTCAATTTACTAAATTACTTAATGTTAGTTAATTGGGTAATGATGACAGTTTAAAATAAATGGAAAATGAAGTGTATCTTTTAAGTATATCTAGAAAAGAATTAGAATCCTATTTTTCCTGTATGATCATTGTTCAACTCAAAATTTTACTGTACAAACTCTATTATTTTGCTATCTCGTTATTCTCAGTAAAATTTAGGCCAGTATATTATCCAACTCACTCTACTACATGAATCTCACACGCAGAGTCATTTACCTTCATTATAATATTCAGTGTCACTGTCAGAGTACACACCAAGTAAAAATTAATCACTTTCATTATTTTAGCTATACAAGTTCCTTTCTTCACATTCAGCTGTGGGGGGAAAAATCATGAACAAAGAAGTGAGGTATGAAAAATTAACAATTAAAAAATTCACTGCAAGAATGATAAAAAGGCAATTTTCTTTACCTGAAGGCACTTAGCAAGTATTAAGGCCACTACTAAACTTAATAAAGGAGACACCAATAAAGCTGAATTCTCAAACTGCAGTAAATATCCCAGAAAGAGAGAAAATATATAGATTTTATAAACTTCATGAACCTGTTGGGACAAAATAAGATAAATGTGAAAAAAATGAATTTTATTTGTACGTCTTTTCATTAGTTTTATTTAGAACAGATTTAACTCCAATTATAAAATAAATGCCCAACTATAATTTAGGATAGTATCCTACAAATATTCAATCTGTATTTTTAATGTTATGGTATATAATGAATTTATTAGTCTTAGAAATAACTTTCATAAACAAAGTAAAAAGTTTTAAAACCATGGACATCTAAATCAGCCTGAATGTACCTGCTTTCACCCTGATTTAATTTTACTTTGCTTGCCCTGTTACTAAAATCCATCCATACAACATCAAGCTGCATAAATCAAAAATTAATCTTTAGCAGCAGTTCCGAAAACCCACCTAGTGAAAACATACTGCCTTGAATTGTAGCACTAGAGACAAGTATTTTTAGATTTGGTCCATTTAACAGTGAGCATAAGAAAGTTAAATTCAATGTCCTAATAGAAGATCTCCCAGGAAAGTCACATGTCTTAGAAGATTTCTTTTCTAAAATTCAATAATATAGTAATTTTATCTATCATAAGACTAATTCCTTTTGGAAAGGGAAAACTAAGACAAAATATAGGCATTAGTTAGGGGGTAAAATCAAAGGCAGAGTGGTAAAGGTAAGAAAAAAAAAAAGAAAGAAAAGAAAAAGAATGAAAAATATCCCCAAGAGGCCAGAGTCATTAAGAAAAGAAATACCTTACTGTTGGAAGGCTGAGACAAGGACTGGGAGAGGGCACAATGGGATCCTCCGGGTGCTGCACATTTTCTACGTCCTGATTTTGGACGCTGGTTCTGCAGATGTGTGCCAGTTCCTGAGTGACTGTCTCTCAGTCCCAACCTGTCCCTCTACCCCCTGCCTTGTAATGCTGGGGCTGGAGATTTTGCAATCTATGTTTCTGCTTTTCCAGTTGGCTCACTATTAAACTCTGCCAGTATGAAATGCTAGAGAGAGGTTACAAGGTTGGAGGAGGAAGGAGAAGCTGGTGGCCTCCTGTCTGCTTTGCAGTTCCTGTGAGTATTCTATCGGCAGTATCCTATCTGCAGTACCTCTTCACTCCGACAGAGCAATTCCTTCTAGTGGAGGCAGCTGAATGCAGGTGCAGTTTGTCCAACACTTGAAGAACCAGCTTTATCACATTCTCTTGCCCCCAAGACCCCAGGGCCAGTTAGCCAGAGCCCCATTCACAGAGGTCTGGGTTCCATTTCCATGGGGCCCTTCTTTCCAGTTCAGACACACCAGCAAAGCTGGGCAGTGGCCCCACATTAGAAGTCTTGAGTTTCAGCTCCACCCTCCTCTAAGTTTTGAAGTTTTAATAATTCCAAATTCTCCCCTTTGCTCCCTCAGCTCTGGTGGTGGTAGCTGCTTCCTGCAAACTGCTACCTCTGTGATACTTTTGGGTTCTTACTACCCTTTCAATTAACAAGATAATGACATTATATTTCATTAATGATTCTTTATGTTCAATTCTCTTTATTCAATTAACCTAAATGTTTGTATTCATCAGGATTCTGGATCATCTAAATATACAGGATAAAGAAAAGAAAGAGCAAGAAGATCCCCAAATTTCTGGCTTGGACAATATATTAAATACTTAATAAATGTTTATAAATAAAAGAAAGATGAGAGAGGGGTGAAAAAGAAAAAGATAAAGAAAGGAACCAAATGCTGATGGCACTTATATAAACTGCTATAACCATTCTGGACAAAGGCTTAGTATTTAGTTAGGTTGAATATGCACATATCCTTTGACTTGTAATTCCACTATGAGATATATACTCTAGAGAAATCTTGCACTTAGTGCCAGGTAAGAATGTTTACAGCAGCACTGGTTATATGGACAGTAAACTGGAAAAAAATGAAGTGTCCACTAACAGTAAAATATATAAATAAATAAAAATGAATGAAATTAGCTCTGTACATCATCATGAGTGAATCTCAAAAACAAATCAGATAAAAGTAAACAATACATTGTTTACAGCATATTTTTTAAGGACTATCTAGATAGGTGGTAAAACCCATAAAGAAACAGGGGAAAGGATTAACAAAATTCAGGACAGGGAGCCTCTGTTGGGGAGGGAACAGGATGTGGAAACCCAGACTTCCGGGTTTTCCAATGTTCCATTTCTTGGCCCGGATGGTCAAATACTCATATTTTATTCTATACGGTACATATACACAGCATACATATATACTTTTTTGTGCATGTTCTATATTTCACTCTTTTTCTTTTTTAAAGAAATAGAAAGGGAAGGCGCAAGGGCTAGAAATGGAGAAGAAGCACATGGTTGACTGGTTAAGCAGACCTTCTTTAAGGGAATTTCAAAGTGTTTCTAAAAGGGCAGGGAGAATGAGTTTAGCAATCTTTTGAGTAGAATTATAAGTCAGGGCCTATTAAAACATTTCAAAATAAAGCTTAGAAGCTAAATGATCTTAAGATACAACAGTATAAAAACATTTATTCTCTGGATTTAAAATCACAACTTCAAAATTCAAAATACCTTGTCACTTTGCTCCAGTGAAAAACTATCTAGCAAGAACAGAGATATTGCTTGAAGAAATAAGAGATAGTGGCTGTACTCCCACATCATCATAAACGTGTAAGTTGAAGCACTCATCAACAAGTAGCAAAACCTCTAGGGAAAACAAAAGAAAGAAACTAAGTATCAGTAGCTTTATTACTATAAAATCTATGAGGTTGTTACCTCAAAGTTGAAGCTCTGTTACTGGTTTTACTTTAAGCTATATAATCCTAGAAACTTTGTTTTTAAGTTACATAATTATTACTAAACCCTTACGTAAACAGTAAGATCTTCAATAAAGCACACAGACAGAAATCAACCACTTGTCCTTTAAAGTTCAACATCATATTGAGAATTTCAGGATGACAAAGGGAAAAAATTCAGTACACTTTCATCTCAAAAGAGGTAAAGTAATAAACATAAGAAAATGGTGGCTTTTTCTAGACTTGGCTAATGGGCTTTTGTTATTGTGAAAGTAACTCCATTTACCCTAGAAAATATTTTCACTTCTGTGGTGCTTCATATTTCCCTAAGAGTTTCCATTTAAATAGTCTGTTTACATCTCAGCCTATTACACAGTCCATGATGTCAAATGACTTTGTTCTGATAAGAATAGCAAAAGAGAAGGGCAATAAGGGTCTAGTCAAACCTGAGATAACAACCATACTCTCTAAAACTTAATCTTTCAGACTCAGCTGACTATACTCAATGATAAATTTCGGAGTCATAAATACCTCAGGCCATCAGCAGATATAAGGATTTTCCAGCACCCTGAATAAGATTAAGACCAGAGAACAAAAAAGAGATGGAAAAATTCTACCAGTTGGTCAAAGAACAAATACCAACTGCCAGGCCCAGAAGAGCTTAGCACTGACAGAACACATAGCTTCTGCTCTCCATATCACCACAGCTATAAGAGAAAGTGTTCCGGAAACTTCTAATGTGGAACAACCAGAACTGTAATAACAAGGCCTGAAACCATCATCCCCAGAGAAACCAGTTCCAGAAATCAATGAAGGCTCAGATCTAGATCCAGCCTAATTAATCTACTAGACATGTGGATATTACTTCAAGGATACTAGGAAAAAAACTACAGTATAATGAAGCAAGTTGCTAATTCTAAGGGTTTATTCTTTTTTTTTTTTAAAGATTTTATTTATTTATTTATTTGAGAGAGTGAGAATGGAGAGAGAGCACATGAGAGGGGGGAGGGTCAGAGGGAGAAGCAGACTCCCTGCCGAGAAGGGAGCCCGATATGGGACTCGATCCAGGACTCCAGGATCATGACCTGAGCCGAAGGCAGTCGCTTAACCAACTGAGCCACCCTGGCGCCCCTCTAAGGGTTTATTCTCAAACTACTCTAAAGAACATGCAGTGAGATAAGACAGAAATATATGTCAAACACAATCTGGACAATTAGCTATGTTTTTCCTTTCTAGCTTTGTTCCTTTGAACATTTTCAAAAATCTGTGCACTCTTATCTACCCCTTACCTTGCTCACTTCATTTTCAACTATGTCTTTATTGTGAACTATTTTATACATATTACTTGACACATTAAATATGTTTCAGTAATCAACCACAGATGTCTCTAGATGGTTCCAGATAACTGCACAAAATATCTGAGCTTCGATATCTTTATGCAACTGGGACCACAAGATCTAGCCTCAAGAATGGGAAGCAAACTAAAAAATATGTGACTGAAATACACATATTGCTGGGGCGCCTGGGTGGCTCAGTCGTTAAGCGTCTGCCTTCGGCTCAGGTCATGATCCCAGGGTGCTGGGATCGAGCCCCGCATCATCGGGCTCTCTGCTCGGCAGGAAGCCTGCTTCTCCCTCTCCCACTCCCCCTGCTTGTGTTCCTGCTCTCGCTGTCTCTATCTCTGTCAAATAAATAAATAAAATCTTTAAAAATAATAATAAAATAAAATACACATATTGCTGTAATACTGCTCAGCAATGAAAATGAGCAAACTATTGATAGAAGGTAACAATTCGGATGGATGTCAAGGGCATTAGGCTAAATGAAAAAAGCCAGTCTTGAAGGATAACATACTATATAATTTGATTTGTTACAACCTTTCAAAATGACAAAATCATAGTGATAGAGAACAGAGCAGTGGTTGCCAGAAAAACAGAAAAGAGAAAATAGGCAGTGGTACCATAAAAGTTAACATTACTGCCGTTTGTAGTCACTCTTTGCATCTACATTAGTATTTCCTTACTTGCAATGACTAAAAGCCATCAATATTACAGAAAATGGTAAATTAATGAGACAAATTAATTTTCAAAATAATATATTCTTCATATATTTGTCAAGTAACTGCACTGAAACAATATAACATCCTTTTCCTTAAAATAATTTACCATCTATCAGACTAGACTAACAGTGTTATATAATAGGACTACCTAAATATATTCTTTATAGATGTAGTAATTAGGCTTCACCGATTATAACTGTTTAATATGATTAACTTTAAAATTTTACACATTTGCAACACATCAAAATTAACTGTGACAAATAAATTTGTATCTTACCTCTCCATAAGTATTTAAGTTGCTTTTTAAATAGCCTGTAAGTGCAGCAATTTGGCATGCGAAATATGGTAGTGCCCAGTTCTCTCTTAAAGGAATGGAGTATTCAATTCTTGTTGTATCTACCCTAAAGTAAACCACAGATGAACAGCAAAATAGCAAGACATTATATTTGTGTAATACAAAACTTTTCAAAGCACTTTCACACAATCTCATTGTTCTCTATACCAATCCTGTGAGGTAAGAACAGACAGAGCCGCCACTGTCTATACAGCATCTTTGGGCAAATTAAGCATCTCATCCAGCCCCCAGTCCCTCCATTCCAGGAAGACTCAGTGCTGCTGTGTACTGCTTGGTGAATTAGCAGGCCTCTACAAAAATCTGAAAAAGGTACCCCTGCTCTGAGCAGATACACCTGATGTTAAGGCACATAGCTTGTTGCAGAGGACACTGGATTTCAGCTCCCACTCTCTCTTCCCTTAATGAGATGGCTACCCTTCTCTAGAGTACAATCTGCATTACATAATTAGCAGGACTGACAGAGACCCAAAGTTCTTATCTTCCCTTATTTAAAGAATATGAATCTCAGAGAGGTGATATGACTTAATCAACGTCATATAGCTACTAGGTGGCACAACTGGGATTACAATGCATATCTTCTGATATCTAGTTTAATAATCTTTTCAATCAGCAGGTTACCTGGAATTACCATTACAGTAGACCTTCATGTGATATATCCAGAAACCTTTAAAAATTCCCACAATCACAAATACAGAATGTCTTTCCAGGCTCTTCCTAAGTTTCTCCTCAATTTGCGTTGACAGTAGGTTGTCTCCTGTACATATCCTCACACCTCAAGAAGACCACCTTTCCGACAATCATTAAATTTGGAATTCATACACTCAATTGCTCTTTTCCACACAGAAACAAAGGTACTACTGCTTTAAAAATTTTATGAAAATTGCTGTATAACTCTCCTAAATAATGGAGAGGAATATATTTGCATGTAATTTAGTTCAACTGATTTATGGTACAGGATATTACTTAGCAATGAAAAGGAATGAACTATTGATATGCCCAACATACATGAATCTCAAAATAATTATGCTGAGTGAAAAGAAAGACCAAAAAAGTATATGCTGTATGACTCCATTATATAAAATTCTAGGGGCACCTGGGTGGTTCAGTCAGTTGGGCATCTGTGTTCAGCTCAGGTCATGATCCCAGGGTCCTGGGATCGAGCCCCGCATCGGGCTCCCTGCTCAGTGGGAGGCCTGCTTCTCCCTCTCCCACTCCCCCTGCTTGTGTTCCCTCTCTGTGTCTCTTTCTGTCAAATGAATAAATAAAATCTTTAAAAAACAAAGTAGAATTCTAGAAAATGCAAACTAATTTATAATGACAAAGTAGACCATTGGTTTCCTGGGGACAATGGGACAGTTAGTAGAGGTGGGGGAAGGGAGAAAAGAAGGAAGCATTACCAGGGGGGAACAAAGAAACTTCTGGGGGTCACAGATGTTTATTATATTGATTTTGTTGATGGTTTCATGAGTGTATCTAAATGCCTGAACTGATCAAATTGTACACTTTAAATATACACATTTTATGTCAGTTATACCTCAATAAAACTGTTAAAAAGTATTATAAGAAAACTTGTCTTCTACGAATGTATATGTGATTGAATATATATATACAAAAAAACAGGATCACACATGAAAAGCAAATGAAATAAAAGCTGTAAAGAACTTAGTGTGTCTACAACCTAGTAAATGATATTAGATCTTGGCTCTTTTATAATTCTGTAATGAATTACTTTTCACTTAATGATATATGAGCATCTTTCCATAACATATGTATCCATAAATATACCTCAAGAATATTTAATGGTCATGACACATCATGGTATAGATTTATTATAATCTAACTAATTTCTATAGTTATACACTTAAAGTGTTTCTGATATTACCTTTTGCAAAAATTTTTAAAACATGAACCAATGTTGGCAGCTCATTCTGCCCACAGGTCCTGTCCCCGTGCTTTAATAAAATCACCTTTTTAGCACCAAAAACAACAAAAAACATGAATCAGTGTTTCTGTATAGTAATTACTGGTTTCACTGTTTACTTTTTTATTTTACAGTTAAGATTTTTTTTTTAAGATTTTATTTATTTGAGAGAGAGAAAGTATGAGAGGGGGGAGGGGCAGAGGGAGACGCAGACTCCCCACTGTGCAGGGAGCCCGATGCAGAACTCGATCCCAGGACCCTGGGATCATGACCTGAGCCGAAGGCCGATGCCCAACTGACTGAGCCACCCAGGTGCCCCTCACTGTTTACTTTCAATGCTAATCCATTTGGAGTTTATTTTAGTATTTGAGCAATAACGTTTCTTTTCCAGATTACTGTCCCAGTACCATCAACTGAACATCAAGCATTCTAAAGACCATCTATTTTCATATAATATCCCTGAAAAATTATGAAAGTTAACTCTCTAAAGACAGATAAGAGATTCAAGTGTCATGAGGCAGGAAGTGGGGAGGAAAGAGAGAATATCTATTCTCAATTCAGGACTCCACCAGCCACTCCATCAGCCCAGAATTGGGAAGCTGGACCCGGCACTCACCTTTCTGAAGGTTCACTCACTACCCTTGCCCAAGTCACAGATCACTGCAGGGAAATCTTTACAACTCTGCACTGGAGAAGGGAAGTCATTGCAACACAAACTGAGTAAGATCTCTGTCAGTTATTCTCTTCACCTGGTCAGGCCTTCCCATTGCTACCTTCCTGAACACCTGAGCTACTCTCTCTTGCCTTCATCATGCTTGGTGGTGGTGAGGAACAGAAGGCTAACAGTAGGAAGGGACAAAATCAAATGAGACCCACTTTTTCTCCCCAGTGGCAGAGTCTAGCAGTAGCACAAACCAGCAGTTCAAAATAACTAGTTAAATCACCTAGGGTTCATAGGCCTATAGATATATTCACAGAGATTAGTAAGCTCTGAGTTTAATTTTGAGTTTTCTTTTTTTTTTTTTAAAGTATTCTCTACACCTAACGTAGGGCTTGAACTCACGACCCCGAGATCAAGAGTCACAGGCTCTACTGACTGAGCCAGCCAGGAGCCCCCTGAGTTTTCATTTTAGACACATCATAATATAAGCATAATCTGGATCATCTGGATGACTACCTTGTAATTCACTATTGCCAGAAGATTTCAGTGCTCACTTCCATGTTTGTGTTAACAATCTAGTTGGCAACACAGGACTACTTCATTTGGCTTGAGTTAATCAGGAAAAATAGATGATTCTAATATCAAATGATGTATTGCCAAATAAAAACAAAATGATATACTGATCACTGTGGTATAAAAAGATTGTTCAGAGTGGACTGAGGAGAGGAACATGATGAAAAGTGAGTCATCTCACAATACTCACCTGTGCAGGTTTGCCACACTCAAAAAAGAACCTGCTGGAAGGGTACTTTATGCTGAGTAGAAATCTGGTTTTAGCAAAATACCATTTTCACATTTAATTCCTCTTTTTTTTTATCATGACCTGAGCCAAAGGCAGACGCTTAACCATCTGAGCCACCCAGGAGCCCTAAATTCATCTTTTCAGTTACTATTTTCCAGGTTGATTATTTCATTAGTAAATTGGTTTTGGTTTTATAGTAGCATAAGCATTTAGAGCATTACCTAGTTTCATTTTATACATAAACAGCATTATAATTCAAATTATTTAAGTCAATACATGGAACCCATGAAAATACAGAACTGAAGTTTGAGAAATGTTGAGCTGGGAACATATAAAACAGTTTGGCATATCAATGTATAATGTGTGAAAGTTGAAAAACATTTACACAGTATCAGTACAATTTCTGATGGCAGCATATTGCCTTGCACTGATGTATTACAATTTACCTAACCATTCTCTTATATTTAGATGGTTTTCTAATTTTTTGTATTATTGTCCTTTTCTGGATTACTGCCTTGCAATAAAATGGAATTCCTGGGAAAGGAATTCCACCTAAAACTGAAAAAGCTTACACCTGCATGAGTATTCTGAGTATACCAGTAGCATCACAACAGAACCAGCATGGTGTGTCACCATTATTTTGTTAGCTATACCTCTAGGACATGTGCATTTCCTTGCATCTTACCTCCTTATTATTATCAATGTACAATTATTTTGGGGGGACAAAGACTAACTTTATTTTTTTTTTTTTAAGATTTTATTTATTTGAGAGAGAGAGTGCGTGAGTGAGAAAGCGAGAGCAGGGGGGAGTGGCAGAGGCAGAGGGAGAAGCAGGCTCCCCACTGAACAGGGAGCCTGATGCAGGGCTCGACCCCCGAACTCTGAAATCATAACCTGAGCAGAAGCAGACACTTAACTGACTGAGCCACTCAGGCACCCCCAAACACTAACTTTAATATACACTTTTAATCACACATACTTTTTTCTTTGCCCTTCAAATACAAAGATGTTTCCACTGAAGTGATACCCAGGTATGTATTTGTAGATGAGAAGATCAGTAGGGACTCTTCCATATTGTTTATATGTGAAGTCTGGTCTCAGGTCAGCTCATTTTGGTGATACATCTGTTATAAGAGAGTCATTCGCCCCTGATTTTTTCCCCCACTACTGTCTATACAGCGCTGTTTCCTAAAATTTCCTCGAATTTTCTAGTATGCCTCCATCTTTTGGTTTTACAATCCTGCTTTCCCCTTGTGGTATTAAGGAATATGTAACAAAAAATACAGTTAACAACACTAATAATCATAATATAATGGAATGGACTAATATCTTTTTATACTTTTCTAAGCATTCATATATAAACTCTAAAGCTGGTGAATAGTGGTGCCTGGGTGGCTCAGTTGGTTGGTTTTGGCTCAGGTCGTGATCTCAGGGTATGAGATCGAGCCCTATGTTGGGCTCCATGCTTAGCGTGGAGTCTGCTTGGAACCCTCTCCCTCTCCTTCTGGCCCCCTCACCACTCGTGCTCTCTCTCTCTCTCAAATAAATCTTAAACAAGAGCTGGTGAATAGAAAAAGCACATTCTCTTTCACAGCATTAAAATATATTTTACAGCATAAAATATATACCAATAAAAAACGAACAAAGAGCAAACAAAAACTACTTGCTAAGAATGTTTCAATTGCAGAATATATCAGGTTAATTTTTCAACCCAACTCCTGCTCCAGCTACCCATGATACATTGTACCATGAAATAAGGCAATTTCCTTACAATTTTTTTTTTTTAATTTGAGAGAGAGAGAGATCAGGAGCAAACAGGGAGGGGCGGAGGGAGAGAGAGAATCTCAAGCAGACTCAGCACTGAGCTCAGAGCTGGACATGGGGCTCGATCTCACAACTCCGAGACCATGAACTGAGCCAAAACCAGGTGTAAGACTTGGCTTAACTGTGCCACCCACGCACCACAATTACCTTACAATTCTAAGATCTCTAAAATACTCTATTTGGCAAGGAGTCTTATTATTCTTTAATGCTGTTATTCTCACATGGAAAAGTTGCCTGGGCTTCCTCCTCAAATTTCTGATAAAGTCTAGAAATTAAACAAAATGAATATTAAAAATTCACTACTGTGACTTGGGGCACCTGGCTGGCTCAGTTGGAAGAGCATGCAACTCTTGATCTCAGGGTCCTCAGTTTGAGCCCCATGTGGAGGGTATGAAGCCCACTTAAAGAAAAAGTTCACTGCCTGTGGGAGCCAGTCTCCAAGATGGTCTGCAATGTATTAACACCCTGTGTAGTTACTTTCCACAGTGCACCAAAGTCAGTGCATGATCAACAGAATATAGCAGAGTAATGTCATAACATTTCTGGTATTAGGTTATAAAAGAGAAGTGGCTAATTCCAAATCGTTCATAGGGAATGTATAAGGTGAGCCTGCTTACCTTGTTGAGCCAGAAAACAAGAAAGCTTTCAAAGGTTAATGAAGATGTGTTAAAAGAACTCAGCAGTTAGCCTGAAAGGTCTTGTATTAACCAAAGTTGTGACAATTTGAGCAACAAAAATGATGGTAATGGATTTAGCCCTACTGAATCAATGAAAATCCCAAAGGAGAAAAACATGCTTAAAAAAGAGAATACCAGTGAGGTACATGACTGGCTCAGTCAGTAGAGCACACAACTCTAAATCTCAAGGTTGTGAGTTCAAGCCACATGTTGAGCGTGGAAGCCTTCTTTAAAAATAAATGAATAAATAAAATAATATATATATACACACACACATATATATAAAACATGTAATACCAAAGAATCCTGGTTAATAAAGAAATAGTCTAGGGATGAATACTCTAGGGACACCTAGTTGGTAGAGCACCCAACTCTTGATCTCAGGATTGTGAGTTTAAGCCCTGTGCTGGGGATGGAGCCTACTTAAAAAAAAAAAAGAAAATAAAGAAAAATTCTACCTTTGAAGAATAAAGAATGTAGCTGATGAAAACTGAAAAATGTAATTTAGGGGGCGCCTGTTTGGCTCAGTTGGTTAAGTGTCCAACTCTTGGTTTTGGCTCAGGTCATGATCTTGGGGTCCTGGAACTGAGCCCTAAGTTGGGCTCCCTGCTTGGCGGGGAGTCAGCTTCCCCTTTCTCTCTTTCTCTGTCCCTCCTCCACTCATGTGCATGTATGCTCTCTAAAATAAATAAATAAATCTTTAAAAAAAGAAAAATATAATTTAATAAACCCTAATGTAATCACTAATTTCAGCCAAGATTAGCAACTGGAATTATAACCCTTAGGTAAATGATTGTTGAAAAGGACATTCATTTGGTACCCTAACATACCAAACAAATTATTTTCTAGTCATACTATTCAATGAAGAAATCTGCCATCCCCCAAACCAGCAGTCAATCTCACACTCACTAGGGGTAGGCCACGTAAATACCATGTAACTTTTAGTATCATGGAACATGAAAAACACATCATCTATGATATATTTGAACTAGAATTGCTATCTTGAATTTATCAAGCCTTTGATATAACTTCCAAGTTTTAAAAACACAAAGAATAGAGTGAAAAGCTAGATGACACCACAATGAAGCAACAAGAGAAATCCGTTAAGGTGGGACATTCTGTAGGACAACTAACTCCATCTCTTCAACAACAAAAAAGGCGATTATAGAGGATTTAAAGAGAATTAAGGACGAACACCTGGCTGGCTCAGTCAATAGAGCACTGGACTCTTGATCTCGGTCTTGAGTTCAAGTCTCATGTTGGCCATAGAGCTTACTTAAAAAAAATTTGGGGGGGGTGCATGGGTGGCTCAGTTGGCTGGGCATTTGCCTTTGGCTCGTGTCATGATCTCGGGGTCCTGGGATCGAACCCCGCATTGGGCTCCTTGCTCAGTGGGGAGCCTGCTTCTCCCTCTGCCTCTGCTGCTCCCCCTCACCTCCAATTGTGCTCTTTCTCTCTCTCAAATGGATAAATAAAATCTTTTAAAACATTTAAAAAAAAATAAAAATAATTTTTTTAAAGAAAAAGATTAAATATGTTTAATCCATAAAGCTGAACAACTGTATTTGAAAACTTCTAAGGAAGCTTTTTGTTTTTTGGAGAGAGAGTGTGCAACTGGGATGGGGAGGGGCAGAGGGAGAGAGAGAATCTTAAAGCAGGGTCCACACTGAGCACGGAGGCCAAAACAGGGCTCAATTTCATGACCCTGAGATCATGACCTGAGCTGAAATCAAGAGTCGGACACTTAACCAACTGAGCCACCCAGGTGCCCTTAAGGAAGATTTTTAAAATATCCTTTATATTGGGGCACCTGGGTGTCTCAGTCATTAAGCATCTGCCTTCGGCTCAGGTCATGATCCCAGGGTCCTGGGATCGAGCCCTGCATCGGGCTCCCTGCTCAGCAGGAAGTCTGCTTCTCTCTCTCCCACTCCCCCTGCTTGTGTTCCCTCTCTTGCTGTGTCTCTCTCTCTCAAATAAATAAAATCTTTAAAAAAAAAATAAAATATCCTTTATATCAAATTACTGGCAGCATGTGACTCTAAATATAAACAAAGCCCAGTAAGAGATTATAGCCCTTAATGCTGAGTCTCAGTAATTTGAAAGTAGCGTATTTTTTATTTGGCAAAGAAAATGTTGTAAACAGAAGAAATGTTTCATCTTTAAAAATTTAGTCATGGTAAGTATTAGGGGAGAAAAGTGTTATGGAAAGAAAGAATACCCATCCTTCAAAACTAAACTTTTGACACTGACCAATGCCAAGAAAATTTTTATGTCTCAAATCAGCCCTCCATTTCAAAGAAGACCCACTGCCTACTCTTTTTACTCACAATTAAAGAACTGAGGCTGCTTTGATTACCAAAAGGGATAGGTTTATTAATTCAAAGCACTCCGTGATAGATTAATACAGAATCCTTATCTGTGGTGATTAACTTAATAGTGATATATCTGGTGCCTCTTCCTTCTTTTCATGAAATTGTGTCATCAGTTTTAAATAAAAGAGGAAAGAAAAGGCACATCCATGTATGCCAATGTTACTATGTCTGAAAAAAGAGAGATATAAGGTAGGTGTATTATTCTTCAATTGCTCGACAAATGACCACACATGTATAGGCTTAAAACAACATAAATTTATTAGCTCACAAACCTACCCCAGTATGTTTGAATATTCTGCTCAGGGTCTCCCTAAGCTAAAATCAAAGCTTCAGCCAGGACTGCTCCTCTCATCAAGGCTTGCAGTCCTCTCACCGGCTCGCTGGTTGCTGCCAAAATTCATTTCCTCCTCACTTCACACCAGCAACAGCACAGCAATCCATCTCATGCTTCAACTATCTCTGACCTCCCCTTCTGCACCAGGTGTAGAAAGATCTCCACCTCTAAGGGCTCATCCGGTTCATTACATCAGGTCCACCAGGTGATCTTCCTACCTTAAGGTCAATGGTGCCATTTAACATAACAAATCACAGGAATGATATCTCATCAGATTCACAGGTGGGGATTAGGGTTTGGAATATTTGGGGGGGTGGCATTTTTAGAACCAAATACCACAGCCATAAAACAAAACTGTAAAACTTAATTCAAAAAACACTTACCTGTTAATAATGAACCATGCAACAGTAAGCATTCCTGCTAGCCATGTTCCACTCATAAGCCAACTTGTAACAAATAAAGCAGTAACATATATTCCTTGCAATCCAAAAACAATGCCAATGTAGAAATATACTGGCTCAATAATCTCCTAATTGGAAAAAAAAAAGAAAGAGGAGATAATAGGACATTAAATAACTTTAATTATTTGCAAAATGTAAGAAAATAAATATTAAAGTCAAAAGAAAACATACATTGCTACCAGTTGCTTGATATAAAACACTGGCGATAAGTTCTGGATATAGAGACATTTGCTGCACTGCATTTATAGTCTTCAGAGATACAGTTTTGTTATTGTGTGTCAATTCATAAACACCTAAAGACAGAAAAATTTTTCTCCAGATTATTTATTCTGCTTTTACAATAATTAAACATGTCATTCAGAGGTCATTAAATATTTTAAATTACTACTAAGAAAAATCTGAAAATATAGTACACTGTGCCTCATTTTTCCTATGTTTTTATTAAGTATAAGAAAGAATAATATTTATATTCTAAGACAAATCTCCACATTCAAGGGCTCCCACATAGAACAATGTTTTATTTTAGAAAAATGTTGTTATTAAAAATACAAATGTATAGGGCGCCTGGGTGGCTCAGTTGGTTAAGCGACTGCCTTCAGCTCAGGTCATGATCCTGGAATCCCAGGATCCAGTCCCACATTGGGCTCCCTGCTCAGCGGGGAGTCTGCTTCTCCCTCTGACCCCCCCCCATGCTCTCTCTCTCAAAAAAATACAAATGTGGGGGGCACCTAGCTGGCTCAGTTGGTAGAACATGCGACTCTTGATCTCAGAGTCCTGAGTTTGAGCCCTATGTTGGGGGTAGAGTTTAATTTAAAAAAAACAAAAACAAAAACAAATGTGGTTATCATACCTCTTTCAAATGAGGGCGCTTTTAACATATCTTTATAATAAGAGTAATAAATGGCACTGTCACCTTGAAATGTGATTTCTCGTTCAAGCTCCTAAAAGAAAATGAAATGATTATTCAAATACCAGTATCCTAAATTTCAACTGCAATTTTCTTTCTCCTCATCTTCTAAATTAATGCTATTTACTTATCCTTTTATTCAAAGACATGTTTGAATTTTCCTTTAATCACTAGTGGCCACATTAAGGAGGTTAAACTTTTCAATAATCGGGCAATATTTTAATGAAACACCTAAGGTTTGGGGCACCTCGGTGGCTCAGTCAGTTAAGTGTCCAACTCTTGATTTTGGCTTGGGTCATGATCTGAGGGATCCTCAGACTAAGCTCTGCATCAGGCTCTGTGCTCAGCGGAGTCTGCTTGAGATTCTCTCCCTCTCCCTTTGCCCCTCCCCCTGCTCATACACGCACTCTAATAAATAAATCTTAAAAAAAAAAAAACATGTAAGGTTTAAAATGGATTGTAGGGGCGCCTGGGTGGCTCAGTCGTTAAGCGTCTGCCTTCGAATCAGGTCATGATCCCAGGGTCCTGGGATCGAGCCCTGCATCGGGCTCCCTGCTCAGCGGGAAGCCTGCTTCCCCCTCTCCCACTCCCCCTGCTTGTGTTCCCTCTCTCGCTGTGTCTCTCTCTGTCAAATAAATAAATAAAATCTTAAAAAAAAAATGAATTGTAGCTCATAAGTCATTTACCTATTATATATAAGGAAAATCTAGAAGGAAAACCAGAAAAAATGCCCTAAGGATAGCAAGAATAAAAAATGATGGTTGAGGTGTTAAAGTCCATAATAAAAAAAGAAGTTTAAGAAGAAATCAGTATTTTCTATTGCTTATCCACTTCCTTATATATCCAGAACTGTAAGCCCTTAACTCTTTTCCAGAGCAACACACACCTAATCAGTGCTTTTCAAAAGAACTTTCAGAAATATAACTAAATCTTAAGTTCCTAAAATTGGGCTATATAAGGTGCTTGCATGGCTTAGTCAGTTAAGCATCCGACTCTTGATTTTAGCTCAGGTCATGATCTCAGGGTCGTGGCTCCTAAGAGCCTCCCACATCAGGCTCCACACTCAACTCAGCTGGGAGTCTGTATCAGATTCTCTCCCTTGGTTTCTCCCCCACACTCATGCTCTCTCTCTCTCTCACTCTCTAAAAATAAATAAATCTTTTAAAAATTTTTATTATAAAAAAATTGGGCTATACAGAACCAAGAATATACGAAATTCAAAAACACTGAAAAACCTTGTACGTTTCATGACAAATCAAGCTTTTGTAAATCTAGTCTCTGAAAATGAAACTCCTTTATTTTCATGCATATTTATCAATTAATACAAAACAATAGATATCAAAGCAGTTTTTCCTAAGTTTGATCAACAGAATCTCCTAAGACATAAATGGGAGTTACCTAAAGAGTTCTAGTTAAATAAGTTATGCAAAGACAGCATTAAAGAAAATTAATGGGTTTCTTTATTGTAAGACTTCTCAGAGTTTCAGTATACTTTATGCAACTGTGAATCTCCAAGAGGAAATTTTTCCTAGATCTATTTGACCAGTGAATTTTTTTTCCTCATTTAAAGCTTATTAATCGAAATAAGTTTCCTTAACAAAACTCTGATAAATAAATTTCCTTAAAATGATTCTTTACGAATGGAAACATTCATTTCTTTCTAAGATTTCAAAGATGTGAACTTTTGATCAATGCTTCTCAAATTTAATGTGCATATGAAACTCCTAGAGATCTTATTAAAAGATCTCTGATTAGATTCTGATTCTAAAGTGGGGCCTGAGAATCTGCAATTCTGAAAAAGCTCCCAGGTAAAGTCAATGTTCCTGAATCATACTGTGTTTTAAAAAACACAGTGTTTTTTGATGCATGCCTTCTATTATTTTTAAACCTTTGGTTGTTCTCAATTCTGCCTACACAACAGAACTGCTTGGACATATTTTGAAACACTGATCCTAGACACTCCCTGCTACCCCACCTAACAATCTGTGAGCTTTTTAAAAGCTCATCAGATGGGGGCGCCTGGGTGGCTCAGTTGGTTAAGCGACTGCCTTCGGCTCAGGTCATGATCCTGGAGTCCCGGGATCGGAGTCCCGCATCGGGCTCCCTGCTCAGCGGGGAGTCTGCTTCTCCCTCTGACCCTACCCCCTCTCATGCTCTATCTCATTCTCTCTCTCAAATAAATAAAATCTTAAAAAAAAAAAAAAAAAGCTCATCAAAAGATGATTCTATTGTACATCCAGTATTGAGAACTACTAATAGTTATTAATATGCATAACACTTTCAAGGAAATAGGATATGCTATAGTAAAAGCTTTTGTCAAATCAATACAGGTAATTATTCAGCTAAATGTTTTGGTGGGATTAGGTCAATCAATGGCTTAAAAACAGTCGGCTTGACTACTGCTCAAAAATAAGAACAACAACAAAACAGTTTGGACTAAAAAAGAAAACTCTTTAGTCAAGTGATAACACTGTGAACCTTATCAATGCATGAAAGATATATCTGATTGTGAAGGGAAGTCTGAGAACAAATTTACTCAAAGGCTAAATTATGAATTATGTAAGTAGCTACGGTGACTAAAAGGTCTGTGGAATACACATGATTTAAAACCAGACATTAAACATACTAATATGAAGAGACATTTTAATAAATACTGTCATGCATGTTAATCATTCCCACGCCCCAAAATATTCTAAACATGTAATCTAAAAATTAAAATATTTTACTGCTGAAACTTCTACAGATTGTTTCTGAAACGTAAACTACGTAAACCACCAAAACTACTCAAAGTGTGACTGAACTCCATAACATTTCACTGTCATCAAAAGCCCCTGATAAATTAGTTGCATGAAGGAAAGCACCCTCATAGTTTCTATTCCAAGGCCTGGAAATACACTGTATTAAATTTTTCAAGGTTGATGCTGTGACTATGTTCTCAAAATAGCTCCTGCACCATTTTGTTTCTAATGCCTGTAAATAAGAAAGCACTTGTCATACTTATCACACATCTATTTTGGCTCCCTGAAAAACACATTACTTAGATTAAAATTAAATACTAAAACAACTTCCATATGCTCAAAATTCTTTCTTCTTACCTGCCTGTTGGAAAACCAGAATTTCCGTTCATGGTATGCTGATAAATAGAGAGCATACATCATACCACTAGTAACTGCTGCAAGACAGCCAATGAAAATCTTTGCAAAGCGCTGAAATAATACATCTGAAAAAGCATATTAAAAGTAATCAGATGTAGATGATATTTATATTAATGCACTTCTATTTTTAAAAAAGTAATCAAAAGGTAGTATGTACCCTTGATAAGATGTGAGGAAAATGACATTCTAACTCTGTGTTCTTCCTCCCTCCCCAAAACCTATAACCCCAGTCTAATGAGAAAAACAGTAGACAAATTCTTTTTTTAAATAATTTTTTATTGTTATGTTAATCACCATACATTACATCATTAGTTTTTGATAACAGCAGACAAATTCTAATAGAAGGACATCCTAAATATACCTGACCAGTATTCCTCAAAACTGTCAAGGTCACTAAAAACAAGGAAAACCTAAAAAACTGCCACACCCAAGTGGAGTCTAAGGAGACATGCCAACTAAACGTCACATAGGATCCTGGAACAGAAAAAGGACATTAGGTAATAACTAAGCAAATCTGAATAAAGTATGGATCTTATTTAAAAATAGTGTATTAATATACCAATAATATTGGTTCATTAACTATAACAAAAATACCATACTAATATAAAACGTTAATAATAGGGAAAACTCTGTGTGTGGGCAGAAGGAGGATATAAGAAGGTAACTCTGCACTATCTGTCCAATTCTTCTATAAATCAAAAAAGATTTCAAAAATTAAAGTCTATTAATCAAAAGAAAGAATAAAAGGAATGTACTAACAAACATCTAAAGAAAAAATACAGGTTCATTCAGAATTACTATCAACAGCTTTTCCTTATCAAGGAATTTTTTTCTTTATTGAGGAATAATTTACATACTATAGATTACAGCCATTTAAAGTATATATAATTCAATGATTTTTTATGATTATGTATTTAAAACATCATATGCAACTGTTATACATATGTAACTACTTCTTGATGAAATAATATAAAATACATGTGAATTTTCTAAACACAGGGTGATTTAGTCCTGCTCTACTCTAGCTATTAGGTATAATGAGCATAGGCCTAAGGGCCCAAAGCCCAATGTTCTATTACCGAATGACTGACAGGTCCGTAAAACTCAACTTGCTGATTTATGAGCTTAGCTAAACTAAAATCTTAGCCATTTTCAAAATATTATTTAATAAATATTAGTTTTCATGGAACAGTAGAGACATTAAATAGACTAAGTAGTTAGATATCACTAAGGCAATAAGAATTACATTCAAAATGCTTGAAAAACAGTACCCAAAAATCAAATATTATTATCAGTAGGATAAAATTGTTTTAATATTACTGTTTTCAATAGCATGTGTAAAGCATTTGGCCTGGCACATAGTAAGAGCTCAGTAAAAACTAGCTATTATTGTTGAAATACAGAAGCATACATGCAAAAATATATAAGATAGTTAACTAAAGCAATGCTGACACAATATGAACTAAAAAAACTGGTAAAAAAAACTTATCAGTGGTGGCAGTCTGGCAAAAGTGCTTCAAAGTTTCTGAAAGTGTATATTTTCCTGTTTTATTTTGTTTTTTTCATTAAGTCTTAGATAACAGTAAGTTAATCCTAATTATCAGTGGCTATTATAAAAAGTATGTAAACCAAATCCTACATATAAATGCCTTACCTTAATACTAAATATGTTGTTTTCAAAGTTTTTTGTGAAGAGTCAAAGATGGAATAAGAAAAAAAGAGCACTACATAAATATCAATACCAATAATACAGGGCATAGTTAAGTAATATTTAAAGCAAAGGAAAAAGCTAAGGACATGTTAGGAAAAGAAACGTAGGATTCAATTTCACAAAAAAGTAAAAAAAAAAAGTAAGGTATAAGTGCACTGAAAAAAATATAAGCAATACTTGCCAAAACTTTTAAGAGTAGTTCTACTGGAGTTATTTATACATTGTATTTTTATTATACTTTTCTCTATTTTCCACATTTTCTACCCTAAAAATATTTTTGTATTCAGGAGGAAAATACTATTTTACAGTAGTTAGCTCTAGATTGTTTAATTATCTTTCTTGTATTGTATTTTCCAAAATGTTTTAAATGACCACTCTATTAGTAAGCTTTTCTATGATAAAAAAAAAAGTTATCCCAAACTATTAGTGGCTTACAAAATACAGGTTTATTTCTCACTTATACTACTTGTGGGTTTTGGGTCTGCAGTGACTCTCCATCCAATTTCAGACTTCAGATTAGCTGTGGCTCTTCTTCTATCTTCTTCAGAGTCCCAGATTGCAGCCAGTAGCTATTCTCATGACAGAAGAGCAGGAGAACCGGGCGCCTGGGTGGCCCAGTCCGTTAAGCGCCTGCCTTTGGCTCAGGTTATGATCTCAGGGTCCTGGGATGGAGCCCCGAGTCTGGCTCCCTGCTCGGCGGGGAGCCTGCTTCTCCCTCTCCCTCTGCCTGCCACTCCCCTTGCTTGTGCTCTCTTTCTCAAATGGATAAATAAAATCTTAAAAAAAAGAGCAGGAGAACAGGCAGAGCATACAATGTCTCTTAGAGTCAAAACTAGTACAGTGTTGCTTCCAGACATTCCATTGGTCTAGGCAAGTCACATCAATAAGCCTGACAATGAGGGAGCAAAGTACACACTGCTTCAGAGACACACTCCAAATCACACGGCAACAGGAAGAAATGGATAATTCACTTTAGGGAAGGGAGCAAACATTTGCAAACAATAAAAGAGTCTACCAGGGTCTGCCCCATTCATCACAAATACTCACTTCCCTCCCAAAGGCAAAACACACTCACTGCTTCTCAAGAAAGACACCCTAAGAACAGCTTATTCAGCTAGTTTCCTGCATGTATATATCATTTTAAGACCTGAATAGTTATATCCATTTTAATCTAGGTTGACAGTTCTTTTAACAGTACATCTCTCTCAAAAACTTAGCAGGCAATTCTCTTAGATATTTACTTAACAGAAATATAAACAAATGTCCACAAAAAGATCTGTAGAACTATGTTCATAGAAGCCTTATTCATAATAGCTAAATACTAAAAATTACTCAAATGTCCAACAAGAACAGAATAAAAAATTATAGCAACATGAATGAATCTCAAAATGATATTTTTAAAGGATAACATGCCAAACTAAGTGAAAAAATCCAGACACAAAAGCATACATGTTGTATGATTCCATTTATAGGAAATTCTACGACATGCAAAATGAATTAAGAAGAAGAGTGGTTGTTGGGACGCCTGGGCGGCTCAGTCGGTTAAGGGTCTGCCTTCGGCTCGGGTCATGATCCCGGGGTCTGGGATGGAGCCCTGCATAGGGCTCCCTGCTCAGCGGGGAGCCTGCTTCTCCCTCTGCCTGCCACTCCCTCTGCTTGTGCTCTCTCTCTGACAAATAAATAAATAAAATCTTTAAAAAAAAGAAGAGTGGTTGTCTTGAGGGGGGTACAGGGAAAATCTGCAAGAGGATATAAAGAAACTTTCTGGGATAACAGAAATGTTCTGTATCTTGTTTCAGCTGCACTCCAGTGTCAAAACATTTAATTAAATGCCTAAGATTCTGTGCATTTTATTGTAAGCTAATTATACAGGTATACTTCAGAGATATTACAGGTTCAGTTCCACACCACTGCAATAGAGCAGATATTGCCATAAGCGAATTAAGTGAATTCTTTGGTTTACTGGTTATATAAGTTTATACTACACCGTAGCATTATGTCAAAAAAAAAAAAACCATACATATCTTATTTTAAAAAGAGTTTATTGCTAAAGTATGCTAACCATCACCGGAGCTGTCAGTGAGTTATAATCGTTGACCAGAGATCACCACAACAGATAAAATGATAAAGTTTGAACTACTGCAAGGATTACCAAAATGTAACATAGAGATAGGAAATGAGCAAATGCGGTTGGAAAATGGTGCTGTTAGCCTTGCTTGACACAGGGTTGCCACTAACTTTCAGTTCATTAAAAAAAAAAAAAAAAAAAAGATATCTGCAAAGCGTAATAAAAGGAGGCATGGCTGTACCTTAATTTTTAAAAATTAAATTACTTATTTCTGCAAAGAAACGAACAATTTTGTCAGCTTTTTACCTACTTGATTCTAGTCAGCTCCATCCATGTTCCAACAGCTATACAGAAGTCCTCCCCTGCCTTGTGTGCGGGGGTATGTTCTGAGATCCTTAGTGGATGCCTGAAACTGTGGATAGTACTGAACCCTAGATACACTATGTTTTTTCCGATACATACATACCTGTGATAAAGTTTAATTTATAGACACAGTGAGAGATTAACAATAACTAATAATAAAATACAACTATAACAGTATGTTATAATAAAAGTTATGGGAACACGGTTTCTCTCTCTCTCAGAATATCTTACTGTATTGTACTCACCCTATTCCTTGTAATGATGTGAAATGATAGTGATGAGATAAAGTAAGGAGAATGACATAGGTACCATGAAGTAGTGTTACACTACTATTAACTTTCTGACAACACATCAGAAAGCAGATTATCTGCTTCCAAACTGTGGTGAACACAGATAACTGAAATGATGGAAACTGAAACTACTGGATGGGGGGGACTACTGTACTTACAAATTTTTTTCTAGATGAGTCTCTGAAAAGGTTTAACTACATGTATTTTGATCTTATTAGGCTTCTGTGGAACCACACCCTGTGTTATTTTCTAGGAAATACCTTCATCCATCCATATATTTTTAACAAACTCTGTGGGAGAGCCTTGCCCCTGATTTAGTCATTGCCTTAAGGATTCATCGTAGTCATTGTCTTTGTTGCTCAAAGTATTTCTCAATTTTCTTGATTTTATTAGCTAAAATAGACAGTTCTAACTCAACACTACAAGTCCCAGAAATTTTGGATTCTCTATTTTCCTCTTCATTCCTGCTTGCAAATAGGCTAATTCTGTTCTAAATTCATCTCTTTCCTGTAATCAAATACAAGTGATAACCAAGGCACTGCAGTAACATCCTGTTTTACAATCCTGTTACCTAAAATAATAAAAAAGTAGTATTAAAATTGCAACTATTCACAGGATTTATCACTGCATAATATGGATTATTATTTTTCCAGCTTCCAAAAAATTTTCTTGCTGCTACCCCCAAAAACTAGTTCTGTAGATAACCCACTGCCTTTATCTTACTTGAGAAAAAATATATATATGGGCCCTCAGGGACGCTTGGGTAGCTCCGTTGGTTAAGCATCTGCCTTTGGCTCAGGTTATAATCCCAGGATCCTGGGATCGAGTTCTGCATTGGGCTCCTTGCTCAGCGGGGAGCCTGCTTCTCCCTCCGCCTGCCGCTCCCCCTGCTTGTGCTCTCTCTCTCTTTCTCTCTGACAAATAAATAAAATCTTTAAAAAATAAAAAACATATATAAAAAAATAAATGGGCCTTCAACTCTCTTCACCTCTCAGCAGGAAGCAATGAGAAGGCTGTTTAGCCCCTAAGGACGGCATGTTCTCCAAAGCCATCTTCATATATAGTTCAGTAGGATAACAGAAAAAGAAGGACTGGGGCGCCTGGGTGGCTCAGTCGTTAAGCGTCTGCCTTCAGCTGAGGTCATGATCCCAGGGTCCTGGGATCGAGCCCTGCATCAGGCTCCCTGCTCAGTGGGGAGCCTGCTTCTCCCTCTCCCACTCCCCCTGCTTGTGTTCCCTCTCTCACTGTCTCTCTGTCAAATAAATAAATAAAATCTTAAAAAAAAAAAAGAAAAAGAAGGACCTCCAGAGGGTGGAGCCAAGGACCACAGAGAACACTGAGCTGGGAAGCTACTCCCAAGGAAAACAACTGGGGCTTAATCAAGAAACATCCCTACCCCGGAGTAAGGAGCCCTATTTATCTGGTAGGACTTCAAAACTGCTATGGACCAGTGGCTGATGTGCCTCTCTTCCTCTTTCTGAATGGAAGCATTTATTTTGCTCATCCTGTCCCTGCCCAACAATGTATACTGGGAGAGGGGGCATGTGCAGAAAAATTAACATAGCAGCCCTGCAACTGCTTTGTGGAGAAAGGCCGGCTTGCAAGCTAGGTAGGCTCTTTGTTGGAATCTGGGAACTAGGATTTCAGGAGGGTTCCCACCATTCTCTCATCTCTCACCATTACTGTGCCTGACCTGTTTATACAAACAATGTGGTTTATGCTCGCTGCTTTCCTTCTGGGAATCTAGTTTTGGTATGTGGTAGGTAACGGGTACATGACTAGCCACCAATAAAAACTCTGTGCAGGGCTGCCTGGCTGGCTCAGACAGTTAAGTATCTGCCTTCAGCTCGGGTCATGATCTCAGGGTCCTGGTGATGTCAGGCACCCTGCTCAGCATTGTGTCTGCTTCTTCCTCTCCCTCTGCCCCACCCCCTGGCTCATGCGTGCACGCTCTCTCCCTCTCTCTCTCAAATAAATAAATAAAATCTTTTTTTTTTGGGTGGCGCCTGGGTGGCTCAGTCTGTTAAGCATCTGCCTTCGGCTCAGATCATGATCCTGAGCCGAAGGCAGATGCTTAACAGACTGAGCCACCCAGGCGCCCCAATAAATAAATAAAATCTTAAGGAAAAAAAAACACAAGGGGCCCAAGGTCTTCTTATCTACATCAGGGCCAGGTAGATTCATTCTAGTCCAGATATCTATAAATTAAAAACGTAAGTTTTGTGCTCTGTGTCAGGGGTCCCCAAGACCACCCCCATGTTTGGTGATTGGCTAGAAGGACTCACAGGTCTCAGAATATTTACAGCAACGACTTATTATAGTGAACAGTACAAAACAAAATCAGCAAAAGGAAAAGGCCTAGGGCTAAAATCTGTAAGAAACTGTAAAATCTGTAAGACTGCTGCCAGGACTGGGTAAGACTGAGTATCTTCCTTGGGGTCAGAGAGGTAGTGAGTGTATTTTGTTTGAGGGAGAAAAGTAAGTATTTATGACCAAAAGGAAAGAATGTGGTAGAATGTTATATTATTATTCCCACTTATTTTATCCTTTCCTATAAAAAGATTATTCATCTCTGCCCACTACAATGTGACTTGCAATGCTTCCCTGTAGTCAAGGTATACTTCTCCATCTCTTCCCTGTAGTCAGGGTATATTTCTCCACCTCACTGTCTGGATTGATTATATGACTTCCTTGGGTCAACAGAATATGAGTACAAATGACAGAGTGCCAGTTCAGCAGAAAATTTAAGAGATACGGCATGACTCTGCCTGTTCTCCTGCTCTTTTCCTGTCTTAAAAAAAATGTCGCCAAGTAGGGGCTGTTCCTTCATGACACATGAAGGTACACCAGCCAACCTGAAGCCACAACATGGAACATTAGTCAGAAATAAGTGTTTTCTGTAAGCCAGTGAGATTAAGGGTTTATTCTACAGCAAAACCAAAGTTGACTGATAATACCATGTAATTAATCTCAAAACAGGTATACACATTTAAAATATTCATACAAGGGGAGCCTGGGTGGCTCAGTCGTTAAGCGTCTGCCTTCAGCTCAGGTCATGATCTCAGGGTCCTGGGATCGCGCCCTGCATCGGGCTCCCTGCTCAGTGGGAAGCCTGCTTCTCCCTCTCCCACTCCCCCTGCTTGTGTTCCCCCTCTCACTGTGTCTCTCTCTGTCAAATAAATAAAATCTTTAAAAAAAAAGTTGATAAAATATTAATACAAAATATAATACCTAGCATATAAAAAGCCATTTTTGTAGTAGCACAAAAACTCCAAATTTAACTGACTTACGTTTTGGAGCTCTTTCAGGAATTGGAGTGTCACTGATTTTCTCTTCTTTGACAGATTCCTTATTTTCTGAAGACTTCAGCTTTTTTCTTTGGCGCAGTTCTACTGTTGGTCCTTAAAATATTTAAGACATTATTGCAACATGTGTATCAAGTTGTTCTAATCTATAACCCAAACTTTTATTATACTAAGGCAAAAGTCACATGGAGACCTTTTAGTATCAAAGATACCCTTTTTCACAATGAAATAAATAATTCATTTAGACAGAAAGACTGTCTTTCATACAAAAAAAAAATTTAGGTTCTCCCTTTCACCTGTGCTTTCAGAGTCCTATTGATAAACCAACAAGCTCTTCTGAGATACATGTTATTTTCAAAATATCCCAAAATAAGTAAATCCCTTTCCAGAATGACTGGGCAACAAGGTGTTATTTAATATATTAGCATATAATTCTAATTACCTGAGAGTATCACACTCATCATTCAATGATTAACAATTTTTTAAAAATCTGAATATAATAAAATACATTCATCACAAAACTTTACTTCATTTTTAAAACAATCCTGCAAGTTCTGCAGAATTTCACAGTGCTGTGTTATCATCGTACAGTCTTATAGATTTAGATATGTGAAATAGGCATATCCTTATATGTGGAAAACTGTCAGAAAATTTCCCAATGTTAGACTACCCTTTTACGTCTAATAAAAAATGTAAAGCAGAAAGTACCTCCAAGGGGCGCCTGGGTGGCTCAGTCAGTTAAGCAACTGCCTTCAGCTCGGGTCATGATTCCAGGGTCCTGAGATCGAGCCCCACATTGGGCTCCCTGCTGAGCAGGGGTCCTGCTTCTCCCACTCCCTCTGCTGCTCCCCCTGCCTGTGCTCTCCTGCTCTGTCAAATAAATAAATAAAAGCTTAAAAAAAAAAGTACCTCCAAACCAGTAAACTAAATTCGAAATGAAACAAAAATTTACTATAAACAAACCTAACTACTTTTCCTTCCTAGAGTTAATTATCTCTCTCTTTTTTTTAAAGATTTTATTTATTTATTTGACAGAGAGAGCAAGCACAAGCAGGGGGAGCAGCAGAGGGAGAAGCAGGCTCCCCACTGAGCAGACAGCCCGATGCGGGGCTCAATCCCAGGACCAGGGAATAATGACCCGAGCCGAAGGCAGACGCTTAACCAACTGAACCACCCAGGCGCCCCCTCTTTTTATTTTTTTTAAAGTAGGCTCCACACCCAGCATGTAGCCCAATGCAGGGTTTGAATTCATGACCCTGAGATCAAGACCTGAGCTGAGATCAAGAGTTAGATGCTTAACCAATTGAGCCACACAGGTGCCCCCAGAATTAATTATCTTATAAGGGTAGACTATGACTGTCATGTTGGTACAAACTGTCCTGCCAAGTTTATAAGGTGGTTCAAGAATTTATTTCCTCCTTACTGGAGCAGAGTTTTCTCTTTTCTTTAGGGATGACCTTATGCTATGAAATGTGAACCTAAAAAGAGAAGTCAAAAAAGGAGAATGAATCCACTGCTGCTGATCAGATGAAGGATTCTAGCTTTACTATGGAAAATGAAAAAACAAATCTATATTTTTTTAATTTATTTTTTTTTTAGTAATGTCTATACCCAATGTGGGGCTTGAACTCATGACTGTCAAGATCAAGAGTCACATGCTCTTCCAACTGAGCCAGCCAGGCCCTCCCTAAAAAAAGATATTTTTTAAAATAGCTTCAAAGCAAATTCAAGTTTGCTAAAATATCTTTAAACACTGGCATTGTGATTAAAAAATAATAACTATATTTAGTGGATTCAGTCTGGTCTAATTTTTAACCATTTCTAAGCTATCATTTATTTTGTAATTGTCTTAACTACTGAAGCCAGTGAACAGATTAGAAAATGACATTATTATTAGAAAAGCCATGCCTCAGATTTTGAGTTCTTTTTTTTAGAGAAAAAGAGAGAGAGAGAGCATGTGCGTGCACACTGGGGGAGGGGCAGAGAATCTCAAGCAGACTCCATGCTAAGCATGGAGCCCAACGCGGGGCTCAATCCCATGACCCTGAGATCACAACCCCAGCCGAAACCAGGAGATGGACGCCCAACTGACTATGCCACCCAAACACCCCAGATTTTCAGTATTTTTGCATACAAATCTGGGTCAATTAATAAATATTACTGTATTTCTTTTTCGTGATGCCTTTTTAATTGCTCTGGGATAAAGCAAAAGTTAAAAACACCCAACAAAAATGAGGATTTAGGGGCACATGCACCCCAATAATTACAGTAGCAATGTCCACAATAACCAAAAAAAGGAAAGAGCCCAGATGTCCATCAACAGATGAATGGATAAAGAAGATGTGGTGTGGGGGTGCCTGGGTGGCTCAGTTGGTTAAGCGACTGCCTTCAGCTCAGGTCATGATCCTGGAGTCCCGGGATCGAGTCCCGCATCGGGCTCCCTGCTCAGCGGGGAGTCTGCTTCTCCCTCTGACCCTCCCCCGTCTCATGCTCTCTCTCTCTCTCTCATTCTCTTTCTCAAATAAATAAAATCTTTAAAAAAAAAAAGATGTGGTGTGTATATACACACACACACACACACACACACACAGGAATATTACTCAACTATCAAAAAGAATGAAATCTTGCCATTTGCAATGACATGGCTAGAACTAGAGGGTATTATGCTGACCGAAATAAGTCAGTCAGAGAAAGACAAAAATCATATGATTTTACTCTTTTGTGGAATGTAAGAAACAAAACAGATGAACATAGGGGAAAGGAAGGAAAAGATAAGGTGAAATCAGAGAAGGAGACAAACCATAAGAGACTCTTAACTACAGGAAACAAACTGAGGGTTGCTGGAAGGGAGGTGGCTCAGGGGATGCAGTAACTGGGTGATAAAACCCCAAGAAGTTTACTCAGTCATTACACTTGCAAGATCAAACATATTGATAGTATTGAAATTTTTTTGAAAATTTAACTGGATAATTTCAGAAAGCAAGCTAACAAATCTGTTAAGGTAGTTTACAAATGGATTAAGTAGGTCTTTTTTATTATAGAGAGGTTAAAAGCACACATTTAAGATAAAGATAGACTGCGAAGGGGATATCACACAAAAAGTGTTCTTTACAAAAAGCTATCATTTTCCTTTTTAAAAAATTTCCTTAGGAGCGCCTGGGTGGCTCAGTTGTTAGGTGTCTGCCTTCGGCTCAGGTCATGATCCCAGGGTCCTGGGATCGAGCCCCGCATCGGGTTCCCTGCTCAGTGGGAAGCCTGCTTCTCCCTCTCCCACTCCCGCTGCTTGTGTTCCCTCTCTCGCTGTCTCTCTCTCTGTCAAATAAATAAATAAAATCTTAAAAAAAAAATTTCCTCATAAAATCAATCAATCACTTTACAGAGACATTAAAGTGTTCTCTTAGTACATATAATGGATTTTATTTATAAAAGTAGAGCTTATACAAAAATTTTGCACAGATTCCCAAATAATTCATAAAGCCATCTTTCCAGAATCTATATTAGCAACAATCAAGGGCCATACAAATAAATTATCTATAAAGGATCTATAACACTATATCTTTTTGGTTCTAAGATGCTGTACATTTTAAGATATTGAGCAGGTATCTTGGGGGTTTTGGGTTTGTTTGTTTTTAAAGATTTTATTTATTTATTTGAGAGAGAGAGAGAAAGAGAGAAAGAACAAGCAGGAACAAGGGGCAGAGGGAGAGGGAGAAGCAGACTCCCTGCCGAGCCGGGAACCCAACTCAGGGCTTGATCCCAGGACCCTGAGATCATGACCTGAGCAGAAGGCAGATGTTTAACCAACTAAGCCACCCAGGAGCCCAGTTTGTTTGTTTTTGTTTTTATTTTTTTTTTAAGATTTTATTTATTTGACAGAGAAAGACACAGTGAGAGAGTGAACACAAGCAGGGGGAGTGGGAGAGGGAGAAGCAGGCTTCCTGCCAAGCAGGGAGCGGACGCAGGGCTTGATCCCAGGACCCTGGGATCATGACCTGAGCCGAAGGCACACGCTTAATGACTGAGCCACCCAGGCACCCCTTGTTTTGTTTTGTTTTGTTTTTTAAGTATGCTCCCGGCCCAGCATGGAACCCAATGCAGAACTTGAACTCATGACCATGAGATCAAGACTGGAGCTGAAATCAAGAGTCAGATGCTTAACCAACTGAGCCACCCAGGTGCCCCTAAGCAGTTTTTCAAAGGGGGTAAAAAACACTACCATATTAAATGTATGAACTGATTTTAAGACATGTTGGTTTCAGTGACATTAAATTCTGAGAGCAAAAAGTACAACCTGGGAAATACAGTATTCATTTTAGCCAATCTCTTCAACCTTGTCCCTCACAAAAAATTGAGTCTGGGGGGGTGTGGGGGAGGCCTCTGGGTGGCTCAGTCAGTTAAGCCTCTGACTCTTGATCTCAACTCAGATCTTGATCTCAAGGTCATGAGTTCAAGCCCAGCGTTGGGTTTAAAAAAAAAAAAAATTTTTTTTTTAATTTTTTACCTGTCACCAAGAAACAAAACTGACTAGATCCAAATTTCACCTTCTTTCCTTTATACTGATCTCATAGCTTCATAACTGGAAGACAAAACCAGGAATCCCCAGGTGGAGAAGCAGCAAAGGCCAAAGCCATGAATGATGCCGATTAACTGATAGGAAAGTTCTAGGACAGATTTTAAGTTTCCTTTTCCTTCCTGAATCTTTAGCATTATAAAGCAAAAGTCAAACTAAATGAAAATGATAACATAGCCACAAAAATAACCTGCTATTTCCAGGTCTGGTCCAATGATCTTCACATGAGATCGTTAGCAGAACTACAAATAGGCCTGCAAATGTCCATCTAGACAACACACAGCAATTTCCAAATGAAATGTTAATACTGCTGTACTCAAGGTGGTCACTTCTTTCTTTGCTCTAACATTTCTTTCAGGAAGGATAAGTATGAACAACCTGACCCTCCACTGCAACAAGGAAGACATTTTTTGTAAGACATTCTCAAAAAACTATTTACCTGGAGTAACAGTGGGACAATGAAGAGGACCCAAGTGAATGCGAATGATAAGCAAAAAAGGGATATAGGGAACAAGATACCAGTAAAATAGACCATTTAGTCTAATTTTAAGATAATATGTATTTGGAAAAGTGCCAAATAAAACAAATGTAAAGCACTCAGAATAATGCCTAGCACATAGACATGTTTGCTATAAACATTACCATTACTAGCATTATTATAAGACTGTAATTATTCATTGTTGACTATTATTATATCACAGCACCTAACACAGTAGGCACCCAAATGTTTATGGAATTAAAAAACTGCTGAATGAAAATATATTTTAACAAAACATCAGTACATTAGTTGTTCTATATAAGATGTATTTGCTTTTGCTTTTGGATTATCAGTAATTCTACAACCAAAACCACTTTTCATTTTATATCCCATAAATAAATTTCACAAAATGGTATGGTCTTTTTAATTAGTTCCACATCACACTGCTTTAATTAAGTGTAACTATAATCTAAAACAATTTCTCATTTTGCATGATGCATATTAAAGACTTTTAGTATTGCAGTATTAATTTTTTTTCATGCTTTAGCTTAAGCATGAAAGTGTTAGTGGAAACATACAAGCTAGTTTATCAACCTACTACACAGATTTGCAACTATTCAGAAAAGGAAAAAATATCAAGAAATCTTTTAAACTACTGCAACCAAAGATAAAACCAAAGTAACAAATGGAATTACATTCTTCCTCACCAACTACAAATAGCCATCGGTTTTGACGTTGTTTTTGACGTTGTTTTTATGTAGAATGTCTTAAATTTAGATCAGCTTGAACACTCTGAAAACTCAAGAGGAGGCAAATATGAAGCCAGTGTGAGCATAGGGACAAGCAGCAAGCCAAAGAGCAGAAAACAATTGTTTAAAAATTGCTTTCGGGGCGCCTGGGTGGCTCAGTCGTTAGGTGTCTGCCTTCAGCTCAGGTCATGATCCTAGGGTCCTGGAATTGAGCCCCACATCGGGCTCCTCGCTCCGCGGGAAGCCTGCTTCTCCCTCTCCCACTCCCCCTGCTTGTGTTCCCTCTCTCCCTGTGTCTCTCTCTGTCAAATAAATAAAATCTTAAAATAAATACATAAAAATAAATTGCTTTCCACTGAATTCTTGAAATTCCCTCCTTGCATTCTTGGTTCAATAAGGATTAAATCTAAGTGAGATCACATTCACAACTGCACTCAAGAAGGTAAAAAGTTATATTTCCCACCAGAAGGCAAAATCTAACTGCTCTGTCAAGCGACACCATCATATATACCTGTTCCTGAAACTAGCAGGGGTATCATGAAGTTATTATGCATGCCATGAATGTTTCCTGTAATATCTATCGCTAGCTAATAAGTTCCTCTAACTCCCCATTTTTCTCCCACACCTATCATTTCCTATGAATAAATATTACTGAAGAGATTAATTTTCTTAGCATTGGCCCTGTGGGGGCATGGGAAGACTTCTCTAGCCCACCCACTTTCACGCTCAAACCTGGCTTCCTAATCCTCCCAAACTACTTACATCCCTCAGCCCTTTGCCATCTACCCCTAATCTATAAATGAACGGGCCTTCTTCAGTTTCCCCTCCCAATTCACCTGTTTACCCCAAATCCCTGCCTCTTTCTACAGCCGCGGCGTGAGGCTTCTCCCCCGCCCCCCGCCCCCGTGACTTTGTATTTGTCGGTATCCACAGACCTCTGAAGAAGGCACTCAGAATGAGGGGCGTTTGGTTAAACACTATCACTTTCAAATATGCACTCAGTACCTAAGCCTCCATCTTCTAACCCCCCACCCCATTAATTGTCTGCTAGTAGCCCTCCCCCTCAAACAGTACCCCCTCCCCCCGCAACACACACACACACACACACACACAGAGCTTTTTCTCTCCCTACCCCATTCCCAACTTTAAGCTCCACCTTTGCTTCCCACTGAGGCGGACAAAACTTCGGGCCATTCACTCCGCTCCTAAATGTCCCCGCGCCGCCGCCGCCCTGCTCCTTCCCGGCCCCCACGCAGCCACCCCGCGCGCAGCCGCGGCCACTGAGCGCCCGCAGCCCAGGCCTCTGGGCTCCTCGCGCCTCCGCCCCTCTTTCACGAGATCCCGGGCGACGGTTGGCGAGCTGGACCCCGGGGCCCTCACCTTCTTCCTCAGCCATCGTCTCCGCGGAGGCCCGGGCTCCCCTCCAAGTCCCGCGCGGCCCGGAGTCTCTGGCCCTCCGCGTCGCCAACCCCTCAGCAGCCCCAAGACCGCTCCCGGCCGCCGCGCCCCACTTCCTGACCCTCCCCCCTCCGGTGTCGCCGCCAACCGCTTCCCGCCCGGCGGCCCAGGAACCAGGGAGCCGGCAGCGGAGGGCGGCCGGAGCGTTTTGCTGGCGCGCCTCGGCCTGCGCGGGCAGGAAGGAGACTGGACGACGCGGGTGGCACCGCCCACGGCCGGCGCTGCCGGCCTCCTCCGCCGGGCTCCCGGCAGCCTCTCCCTTTCGCCCCGCCCTTCCGAAAGCTGGGAGTCCAGCGGCCTCTCCGCGGCTTTTGTCGTTCGGCTCAGTCAGAGAATAGCATCAGTGTCATCTTCCAGATCCAAACCCTATCCGCGCCCCATGTGACGGAGAGGAAGCTGAGGTCCAGCGAGGTGTCAGTGACGAAGCCGGCGCAAGCCTGAGCTGGAGCCCGCGGCTCCGAACTCCTCTCGGTGCCTGCGTGCTTGGCGATTTCAGGAGAGCCGCAAGATGCTCTGGGGGGGCGCTTTGGTTTCGTAGGCCACTTTAGATTACAAGATCATTACGAAAGAGAAGCTTCTACTTGGAACTTAAGAGTTCATAACTACCCAAACTGGTTAAACACATACATTTGCATTTCATGTTATTATTTAAAGAAACAGTAATACTATGGTCAATGCGGGGAGCGGGATGCATTTAGATATTCCGCAGGAGCGGAACATAGTTTCAACTTGTTGCACTGTTTCTACCCTAGCTTGTGTTACCTCGGGCATTCTCCAACAAATACCAGGAAATTTTTAACGACAATATTCAGAAGTAGATTTAGGAACAGACAAAATGCTCATTTTATTTTTTAAGATTATTTATTTTACAGAGAGAGAGAGCACAGGCAGGGGGAGTGGCAGGCAGAGGGAGAGGGAGAAGCAGGCTCCCCGCTGGGCAAGGAGCCCAATGCGGGCTCGATCTCAGGACCCTGGGATCATGACCCCAGCCGAAGACAGCCGCTTAACCGACTGAGCCACCCAGGTGCCCCAAAATGCTCATTTTGGAGTGAGAGAAAAAAGCACAAGAACTCACTGAAGTCACTGAAGTCATTGGGGTAATTATGGATGTCCCATTCTTAGCAGACAGCAAGATTCTCCTAGTAGCACCTTTGTCACGTTACGATATTTGGAGAGAAGCTATCGCTTTTCAGTGCTGTGCAAAAACAGTTCCAGGAACTCTTTTTATGCCTTTGGCTGCCTGTAAATATGTCTTGCCCTTAAACAACACTGGGCCAGGAGTTAGAAACATGGTGGAGGTTGCCAGTAGACCAGAAAAGACCCGGATCAACACAGAGAACAGGCTGTATGGACCTTGAAAACCGCAAGATATGGCAGGACCCAGGGTAATGGGCAGCAGATAGCAGAGTCCCTCCTTACCAGATGACCGTAACTGCAAGAGCTCCACTTCATGGGGAACAATACAGTGGCCACCGAGGGCCACTGTTTTCCAAGTCAAGAGTCTTAAAGTGATGCCCGTTCCTCTTACAGTTCCTTCGTAATCACCTCAAGGTGATGATGGGCTTAATTGCAAATGTGCCTGCTCTAAACAGTAGTGGGTAGAGAGGAAAAATAGTCTCTTAAACTGAAACAGAATTATGAAAGAAGAATCATTATTCAACCTTTAGATAGAAATCAGTGGAATCATGATTGTGTTCCGTAGTAGAAACATTGTTCTTCCCTTGAATCCTGAAACTTCCACAAAGGATAATGAGAGTGGAACATTCTGTTTCCCCCCAATCTCTCATTTTGCTCTGAGAGAAATAGGCCATTTTTTCCAAAACATATACATAATCCCAAAAGATAGAACCCTAAGTGCTCAAGATGTTGCCTTGCAGCAGGCATTATACCTGAGTTTTCAGTATGTCAATCCATAATTCTCTAATACCAGCTGCTTCCAGATGGCAGCGGGCATGAGTAGTGGATGCATGGTCCAAAGATCACTTCTGATAACTTGATTATTTTACCACTGCAATAATGGACTGCTAGTTTCCAGTCCAAAATTTGAAGGGTCCTTTCATTGCCTTTTGCCTCACCTTGACCTAAAGACCTCTCATTTTCTCAAATGCTCTTTCATTTACAATATGCTCTCAAAGAAACCGTATGATTTTCTGCCACCTCTGGAAGTTTGAGGATCCCTTCTCTATGCAATGGATATTTTTAGGGAGTGATATAAAATGTTCTTTGTTTTAAGAAGTTAAGTCATGGAAATGGAGCTTAGGAGGCTCTTGTAGTAAACTGGGTAAGGAATAAAGACTTGGAATAAGGTCATGGAAATGTTCAAGAAGAATGGACTCAAAGGATGCTGGGGATAAAATCTACAGCACCTGATGACAAATTGGATGTGATACATGATGAGTTGAAGATGATTCCTGAGGTTCCTATCTTCAAATTAATCATGTGCTTTTTGTATGCCAAGTATAGTATGCTGCCAAGATATGAGAAGAATATAAAATAAAAGCCCCTGAGGACTTACCTACTTGAAACCAAAAAAAAAAAAAAAAAAAAATACAGGCAAAGCCTATTTCAAAAACATCCTTCTATCAAATGTTTCATCTTAGTAACAGAACAGAATTAGTAAATCTTTGCATCAGTTCAGCTTTTCTCCTATTAAAGGCATGGAATTTTATTTTATCTTTATTATATAATAAAGCCTTGGTTATCCATTGGTTAACAACATATTTATATTATTCTCAGACACCATCTCTTTTGTGAAGTCCGAACCAAATGCAATCAATTTGTTTTTGAAAACATGTAACACCCTTACTGCCATTATATTCTGGCTTGTATTTTGGTCATGTTTGATCCTCATACTTTCAAGTCTTTGAAAACACATTATAGACAAATATTTTGAGAATTGACTTAAAAGTTGAGGATAATAGCTAGTATCAGCTGTAGGTGGGACTTAGAAGACCAACATAAATCATGTATTCTGCACTATCCATGAGAACTATCCCTTGATTTTTTTTTAAAAGATTATTTATTTATTTGACAGAGAGAGACACAATGAAAGAAGGAACACAAGCAGGGAGAGTGGGAGAGGGAGAAGCAGACTTCCGGCTGAGCAGGGAGCCGGATGCGGGGCTCGATCCCAGGACCCTGGGACCATGACCTGAGCCGAAGGCAGACGCTTAACGAATGAGGCACCCAGGTGCCCCATCCCTTGATTTGAAGCTATTTTGTTCACTAATTCTGATTGTGATTTTGGATCAATGTGAGATTTTTTTCCCTGTACCTTTTCTTTAGAAGAGGGATCAAGGTTTATACTGTCAGTTGCTCCCAGAGTTGCTTCTCAAGCTAGCCTCACTTGTTCCTCATTGTTTGAAACTGAGCTTCCATGCCTCCTGAATACATTTGCCCTATTGTCACTCATCATAAGGACTTGCTGTCCTTTTCCACTGACTGGGAGGGTGACAATCATACAAACTAACAGGGTCAAACTGTGAAATGTATAATCCTCCCACGTGGGATACATTAAACAATGTATGTTCTATTTAGGGGTATCTGGGTGGCTCTGTCAAGCATCTGCCTTTGGCTCAGGTCGTGATCCCAGGGTCCTGGGATCCAGCCCCAATATTGAGCCCCATGTTGGGGGCCCTCTTCCCCCTGCTTGTGCTCTCTCTCCCTCTCTCCCAAATAGGTACAATCTTTTTTAAAAATATGTGTTCTATTTAAATATTTTTTAATTGGACATATTAGACATCTTAGATTTTCTAAAGTTCAGTTTTTTCTAGAGTTAAAATTCCTCTAGGAAGAGATTTTTGACCAAATTGGTCGTATGAAACAATGCTCATTAATAAAAGCAAAACAGGGGTGTCTGGGTGGCTCGTCGGTTGAGTGGCTGCCTTCGGCTCAGGTCATGATCCTGAGGGTCCTAGGATCGAGCCCGGCATGGGGTTCCCTGCTCAGCGGAGAGTCTGCTTCTTCTTCTCCCTCTACCTCTTCCCACTCCTGCTCTATCAAATAAAATCTTAAAAAAAAAAGCAAAACATTATTGGAACTTAGTGGTCTATTATTGAGATTTTCCCAGCAAAGCTTCTATTTTAGTAGACACAGGTTGCTGACTTTGTACCAAGATTCTTTCCTCTCTTCTTTCAGATAGTAAGCCCTCTAAATATTTGTGAAAATGGATTATATTAGAGTTGCCAGATAAAATACAGGACACTTTAGTGTAACTATGTCCCATGTAATATTGAGCCATATTTAATACTAAAAATTATCTGTTGTTTGTCTGAAATTCCCATTTAATTGAGTATTTGGTTTTTTCTTCAGTTTGGCTTGGTGTTTTGTTTTTGCTAACTCTGGCAGCTCTATTTATATGGATTGAGACTACCCCATTCAAAGCCACCTAGCATTGATTGCTTTCAGGCCTTCTGGGAACGTGTAATTAACAGATTAAATTCTTTCTTATGATGAAGGAAGGCAGTTAGATAGTAGGTGGACTCTGAGTACTTCAATTGCACTAATTTAGAAACAAAATCTGTCACTTCTAAAGCCCTAACACATGAAGTTGTTTCTGCTGTTTTGCCGGGCTATCAAGGGCTCAGGCCAGACCTGGTGTGGCCTAGTGCAGCCTTGGAGCTACCACTGAACTACTTCTCAAACAGCCAGTGCAGATGATTTATCAGGCATATCTAGACCTGCCGTGTGGAGAACTAATCACACTTCCAAATTATAGGGATCTTAAAACCAAAAGAGCATAACGATTTTGGGGGGGAAGATTGTTTCCCACCAAAATTATGACTTAGCAATATAACAATTTATGTAATATGTAATAGAGGGAATTGGCATGACATTTATTTTTTAAATACAGTAAAAAAAACCACATCAATTATCCCATGACTTAAATATAGATAAATTTTTAAAATTCTATTGCAGTCTTAGATAAACACTCTGGCTGAGAATAGGATTCT